TGTTATGGATGAGAGGCTATTGGCTTCAGGATGGAAGCAGGTCATGGCCCAGAACATTAGCTTTTAGTCAGTGTTGTGGCTAGTTCTGTCTACCTTTCGGCTAGGACCACTCTTCCACTTGTGGAACCACGAGATGTTCTCCACAAATCTGGGCTTACCTTTCAAAAGATGTGGCCTTTTGCGGAGGTGAAGATGGAGGATTCTTCCTACTCTTCCTATAACCCCATCAAATGTATATTCTTCAGAGCAGTGTTGGGTTTTTTGTGGTGGATTTTGTGGGAAATGCTTAAATCATAAATTCATAAAACTTAACTCCTTGCCTCTCACCTAAATTAGAAAATCCACTTGAGTCTCTTCAGCAAAATAGCACAAAGTCATGTGACACATTGGGCATTTTTACACATACCTTTTTTTTCCTGTGACATGCTGGAGATCCGCTGCTTCGCACGTGAGCTGAGGCGAACTGCACTGTTCTGTGTGCGGTTCTGTAAGTGGCAAAATGTGTGTCAGCGCTCAGAGAATGGCACTGGTGCGCTTTTGAACTAAAGTACCTTCGTGGTGTTTTAGTTCAAAAGCACACCGCCACTGTTTTCTGTGCTGGCGCACATTTCGCCACTTAAACAACTGCAGGCGTTGCAGCACCAGGCACTTTTCAAAGCACCTGGAACTGTGGCACTTATATGTGTAAAAATGCCCATTGACAATAGCAACTTCAAGTAAGTTAAAAACCAGAAGTTCCTGGAAACAGCACAAGGTTCCTCATGTTTTAAGGACATGGTCACAGAAAAATGTTTAAATATTCTGGGCTTTGGGAGAATGCAGAAAATGGAGCAAATCTCTATGCAAGCTACAAGCGCTTCAAGTCATTTTGAAGTTTTGAAACACGGATAAAAGTCTCATTCTTATTTAGGACTGCCTCATACCGTACTCTGTTCCACTGAAAGTAACAACACGATAGGGGGAGGTAGGACGGGGCAAAGGAAGCAAGAAGCTTTGCTGGGCAGGCATGTGGAAGTTCATACCCAAAGAAGTCGTATAGCTCTTGTTTCCCTTCATTTTGGCCAGGGACAGTTTCTCTGCTGCAAACCACAGCACACGTAGGAGTGTTATCCAGAGTAGAAGGCATTTTGCATTATACCAAAAAGAAAGCTGCTTGCCGCAAATACAAGTGGGATTAATTGGTGGAGATTGGAAAAGAATCCATTTCCTGCCATCTAGTAGTCATGTGACTCTTAATTGTTATAAAGGTTTGTGGATATTAAATGTGCATGTTTAGAAGAGATCTAGAGCTTTTAAAAAGCAAATGAAACCTAGAAAGGGAATGTTAAAATGGAGTTAAGCATTAATCAATTTAAATACATACAGATTGAGCAGTTTGTTTTAAAGGGAGACGAGCATAAATTTAGGACTGTCTGCACCAAGCCCCCACTCAAATGAAGCATGTTCAAGCTGGTGCCCACTGGAATTATTTTCATAATCCTGTTCTTGTAAATGGAGACTAGCCGAGGCTTTCAAAACATGGAGTCAGTGCTTGCCAGAATGCAGTGTGGCCTTGCTCAGGGAAGCTGCTGATGGCTCACTTTTTTTGGACTTGTGTTTTGTCTCTGTAACGAACACCATATGACCTGCCCTCCTATAGATACAATAGATACAGATTTCTCTTCTCACATAAGTTATGCTCACTTTGGAAGCTGGTGATCCCACTCGTGCTTACATGAAGACATGCCTTAAAAAAATGTTATATAGGTTTTCACTTACTACATGGAAGCAGGGCTTTCTTTTCAAGGGAGGTGTACTTTCTGAACCTTGGATGAGAGGTAAATTACTCTGGTCTGTCACTGAAGTCTTATTTCAGACCAGCTTGTGATCGTAGTGGGTTGCAATAGGGAACTATAATGTTCTTGTAAAGCATAATTCCTTTCACAGCTTTGCTACATCCTGGAAATACTGGAACAGGAGCATACAGTAATCTTTCACTTATCAGTGCTGCTTCACTAAAATTAAGGCACTTGGCCAATGACTCCAAAGGTGAAATTTAAATTGGACAAATGTTTTCATAATCTAGGCTAATTGGGATTATGGTTTGGTAGAAGTGTTGGAGCAGATCAAGCAGAACATTTACTTATCAGGCTTCTAAGTAGAATCAAGCGTAGTTACTCAGTTTGCGGGGCATGCTTTAGGATCATCTAGAGCAGTCTGCTACCGGGAACTAGAGCACAACTGATCAGGGAGGAGACAGGCAGCACAGTGGCAGAGAGAACAGGAAGTAGAGCAGCAGATTGAGCAGGGGAAGGGGATTGGAGTAGCACTTGGGAGGGCATAGGGCTAATTTGGGACACCTGCCAAAAAGGTAGGCCCCACTGAACTAGAGTATTAGAGAAAGCAAGCAAGGAACAGAAACAATGGACATTATCATTGACAAGGGCAGAGCTCACCTGCCCTCTCCCTTCTTTATAGCCTGTTGCTTCTAGGATCAAGTTTCACCTTGGTATTTCCTCCAGCAGTAAATGTAAAGGGAGACCCATGCTACCTGCACTTCGTGTATTCATTTTGCAGTGGTGGAAGGGCTATAAAAGTGTCTAGCATAAATGTATACAACAGTGCCCACTGGTTGGGTTTTCTTCAAGACTTCCTCAGCTAGTCCTAACTCACTCTTATTGCAAAAACGGAGTGGCAATTCCTGTGCAACTGTGAGTAGAGTCCAGTCTGTGTTCCTCCAGAAGTTATTTTTAGATGACCAGTACCTTAAGGGTGACTAGCAACCTTCTTCCCCAAAACTACAATGATTTCAGTGAGCATCTGTAGCTACTGTCCCTGTGGTATGATGTGGGTCTTACCTTTAGTAAGCAGGTTTCTTTGAAAATTCTTGAGTAGTAGAAATGGAGATAAAAGTGGAGTTTCAGGGTCTCTGTTTTAAAAATTAAAAACCTACTGCTCAAATGGGATAAACAGGATCTTATACCAAAATAGGATTAGTCTTTTAAAAGTGAAATTCTTACCAGGCCTGGAACATATAGCTGCACATTTACTCAATGTTTCACTTCAAAGGAAGAAGGCAAGGTAGAAATGCATGTCTTAAACTAATTCAGTCAGAGATGTATAAGCTTTTTGTGAGCCTGAGCTCATTTCATCACATGCTGTGAAATGACTTGCACAGAGCAGCCTATTAAATGTAGAGAGTGATTTGAACAGAAACATGTACCTACATCAAAAAACATGCTTAAACTTCCTTGATTGGCTGAGAGAAACTGGCGCTACTTTTTGCATGCTGTGACTAAAAGAAAGTTCTTCATTTTTACCCAGGTAGCATAATTCGTTGTATGAGGCGACTAGAAGAATTGCTTCGACAGATGTGTCAAGCAGCAAAAGCCATTGGAAATACAGAGCTGGAAAATAAGTTTGCAGAAGGTATGTATTGAGATAGTCTATACGTGTATGAGGTGCCAATCTACTGCAGCCATTTCAGGTTGAAAAAACAGTTTGAGCTAATATCAGACAGTAATTTTATTTGGAATGAGCAGAAGAGTAAATGTTCCCTTTCTCTATTAGGGCAGCAGGGAATAGGAGATTTACTAGGGCACCCCCTGGAGTAACTAGGAACAATAGCCACAAATTAATGGAGAGCAGATTTAGGTTGGACGTTAGAAAGAACTTCACAGTAAGGGTTGCCAGAATCTGGAATGGGCTTCCAAGGGAGGTGGTACTCTCCCCTACCTTGGGGGTCTTCAGGAGGAGACTGGACAAGCACCTAGCTGGGGTCATCTGACCCCAGCACTCTTTCCTGCCCAGGGCAGGGGGTCAGGCTCAATGATCTACTGAGGTCCCTTCCAACCCTAACATCTATGAATGTATGGCGTACTGCTGCACTTTGGTCTAGGGCAGTGGGGGCCAGCCTTCCTGGGAGGCATGTTGCAAATTAGTCCTGCACCCTCCCCGATCCCCTTCCCCTCCCTGACCTACTGTTCTGTTTTCTACTCTGTGCTCTCTGCTGAATCTACTGCTGTTTTTTGCATCTTGTCATGTCTGTGTTCTTTCCCCTTCCTGACCTGCCACATGCCACACACACAGGCTGTCTGTGCCACGTAAGATGACCACCCCTGGTCTAGGACGCACGACGTAATCAAGAGGGGTTTCTGGTGATACCTTTATTAACCAACTGTGTAATTTGGAAGGGACCTCCCTGTGAGTCCAGTGTTCTTGCAGAAGTTATTTTTAGATAACCAACAGCTTAGTTGCTCCAGTAAAAGATGCCACTAAATAAAAAGCCCCTTTATGACTTTTCATCATTTCCATTCTTTATTTATATTTATATCAAGTTGAAGGTGCTGGGAAGCTTGACTTGAGCTGTATATGTAAGAGAGCCTCTTCATATATGGAAGGCAAGGTAGACTTGCACCTTACAAACTAATTGAATTACTGATGCATATAAGCTTGTGAGCAACAGTTTATGGTGCAGTTCCACCCTCGCTTTTGTGTGACTTCAAACTAAGATGGCTAACTACATGTGTATATGAACAGGTTAAAAAATACTTGTTAGCTTAGAAGGAAAACCTCTATTTCTAGGGTCCTGTTGTACTTTAGCCGCAAGTCAGAACCCATGATTGTCTCATGCATTCATGTGATAACTTTGTTTGAAGCAGTCAGTATGAAGTAATCCAAGTTTTCTCATCAGAAACGATCTTCTATGATCTGGTATGGACAAGGCTTTGACTTTGATACTGATTTGCTTTTCTTTTTTCGGTAGGAATTACAAAAATCAAGAGAGACATTGTGTTTGCTGCAAGCCTTTACCTCTGAGGAATCTTTTCTGAATGCCAGCAATGGAGCAGGAGCAGCCCTCATCACCGTAGGGCAGATGGACGTGCTCAGTGAGCAGAATCTAATTTTAGACTTTGGCATCAGCCAACTGTGCCAGTTCATCCCAAGACAGAGGTTTAATTTTTAATTTGTTGTATGTATTTAAAAGCAAACATTCTAGCAAGATGTGTATAAACAGCTTGTTTATGTAATGTAAGTGTTACCACATTATTTTAATAAAAATTTACAGTTTGATTAGCTTTTTAAGCAAGACCTTGAACCAGTAAAAATTTAAAATTTTTAAAGCATTAGATATACATAATGGTGTTAAATGTTACTATATACAAGTAAATTGAGCATCCAAGAGCAGCAGCAGTCCCTTAAAGGCATTTAATTTATATTACATAGGTCAGGGAGACTCATGAAATCATTTTCCCCTCAAAAAAGCAGGATGTCACAGGGTGGGACTCTCAATCCTTCACGGTTGGTGATTGCTGCCATAGTGATTTCCATTTGTTGGTGTCTCATGTAGAGTTGTATGCGAATCTTCTTTGGGTTTAAATGTACAGCCCCTCACTTTGAAGAAGTCTGATACGTATGCAACCTAAGAGAACAAATCAGACAGCATTAGAATTGAGTGCATCACATTTTCCTCTTCTCCTCCACTAAGACTTCAGAAACCCTCACCTCCAAAGTCCTACCTGTACGATCTGTGCATAGATTAATTACATAGTGCTATGCACATGTGTGATATAACTAGCTGAGAGCAATTTCAATAGTTTCATAGTCAGAGCATTTCAGATAACTGCCAGAAATCCCAAGGAGTAAGAACTGTAGGTCTACATCAAGAAGCTGATTATGTTTTTAATACAGGAGGGAAATAAGACCTTACTATCATATTCTAGAAGTTAGTGAAACAGCTCTTCTAGGTTGGGGCACCAATTTTAGTAGCAGAAAGCAATGTTTCTCCTTATATATAAGGGAAGCAAACTAATGCTTCAGCTGCATGCTGTATGTAGTAGTCTCTGAAGGGTGACAACTAAAGTTTCCAGTGACCACTCCAGACTTGAATTGCAGCTCTGGTGCACAAGTCTGGATGTTTTCACTTCTTTCTGTAATTGGCTTTGCAAAAGCAAACAGCAATAAACACCTGAGCATTGTCACTTTACATTAGAACTGTAGTGCAACTCTTTTGGCCCCTTAGCAGTTACAGCCCTGTGTACCTTGACCACTCCGTTACAGACAGCACTCTGACATCACATTAACTTCAACTTAGTTTGGCAGGTACCCCCAGTTGAGAACCACTGTTGTGCTACCTTAAGTTACCTATGTACTTCTCAACTGAATTGTTGCAGCCAGGTGGAACTGCTCCACATGCCTCGGTGCACAGCCAGATAACTCTAAAGCAGGCAGGAAAACTTCTTGCTGCAACCCTTCCCTATCCAGACTCTTCCCTCCCCCATCCTGCTCCTGCCTTGCTTCTGTCAGAAAGGGGCAAGGGGAAGAGTTCACTTGTCCTGCACGCATGTTTTGAGGAGGAGCACAGGGAATTGGATCAGGAAGGGCTGCAGCACAGGTGACCACAGCTTTAGGCTCATCTGGCTGTGCAGGGACGTGCAAAGTAGTTCCACCTTGTCACTGCAGTTAGTGGTTCTCTGGGCTGCTGCACTTCAGGCACAGCTATCTGCATTTCTCTTTTTCCACTGCTCCTTTCCCCTGGCCTGTTCCTTTCTTCACGTAGTGCAGTTTGCCTGAAGATTCTAATAGTGTTTCTCAAATTACATTTGGCAGTGGTTCAAGATACGTATTTAGCTGAGGATCTGTTATGGTTTCAAATGGTTACCTTGAACCATCCCAGTGCTCCTGTCAGGACAGCTTAAAAACACTACCCACCTTGGCCCACTCAAACTGGGCTGGAGGGATGGATCTGCTCTGTAAGCCTGGGGAGGAGTTTGCTCAGTGGACAAATGTTTGACGGATTTGGATGAAAACAGCAGAGATGGTAGCCCCTTCTGAGGGCATGAGGCCTGCCAAGTTTCAGGGAGATAGGTTCAGGGGTTTCTGGAAAACTACCCTGGAGCAGGGGGGGTTGGCAGGAATACTGCTGAGATCAAATGATCCCAGCATGGTGTCTGTCTGGTCTCCTCTTGAAGACTTCCAAGGTTGGGAACTGCCCCACCTCCTTGGGAAGTCTATTCCAGATTCTGGTCACCCTTACCCTAAAGAAGTTCTTCTTTACATCCAACCTGAAACTATTCTCTAACAGTTCATGGGCATTGCTCCTTATCCTCCCCTGGGGCTCCCTAGTCAACAGTGTTTCTCCCAGCTCCTGATATTCACCCGTTGTATACTTATAGATAGCCAGAGTTCCTCTTTGGTCTTCTCTTCCCCAGGCTGAACAGTCCCAGATCCCTTAGTCTTTCCTCATAAAGCTTGTTCTCCAGGCCCTTAATCATTCTTGTGTCCGTTCTCTGGACCCTTTCAAGATTCTCCATGTCTTTTTTGAAGTGCAGCATCCAGAACTGGACACAGTATTCCAGCTGGGGTCTCACCAGTGCCAAGTAGAAAGGAAGCATCACTTCCTTAGCCCTGCTCGCAATGCATCAGCTAATGCATCCCAGTATGCTATTAGCTCTGTTGACTGAGGTGTCACACCAGCAGCTCATGTTCATCCTGTGATCAACAGTAACCCTGAGGTCCCTTTCAGCCATCGTGCTGGCCAGGACATCTCCTACATTTGTCTCTGGTTACTTCTCCCCTGATGAAGTACTTTGCATTTATCCTTATTGAATTGCATCCACTTCCACTCTGCCCACCTTTCCAGCTTGTCTAGGTCTACTTGGATCTGCATCCTATCCCCTAGTGTGACTGCTTTTCCCCATAACTTGGTATTTTCCAGAAACTTGCCCACCATGCTTTCCACATCCTCATCTAAATTGTTGATAAATATGTTGAACAGCAGGGGGCCAAGAACCAACCCCTGTGGGGCACCACTGACCCCCCCCTGCCAAGACAATACAGACCCATCCACTAACACTCTCTGGGTTTCATCCCCTAGCCAGTTCCCAACCCACCTGACTGCAGACTCTGCCAGCCCACAATCCTCCCAGTTTGTTTGTTTTTATAAGAGCATCATGGGAGACCATATCAAAAGCTTTTTAAAAATCTAAGTATATGGCATGGACTGCATCTCCCACATCTAAGTGGTTCGTTACTTGATTGTAGAAGGAGACTAGATTGGTCAGACACAACCTGTCCTCTTCATCTGAACCGTAAGCCTAGTTACAGTACCATCTCACCAAAAGGGGTCATTTATTACTTTTTTCCCCTGCTCTCATTGATCATTTATTAAGTTGACCATTATCCACATTCATCCACACCTACCCCTCCAGATGCTCTTGCCCCAGCGTGACATCCAGTCAATCAACCTAGATTGCATTTGCTCTCAGGCCTCTTCAACTAATTAGCTTAGATATCTCCCACTGCAAGGTTGACCATAGCTCACCCCCCTTTCTGTACCACAGGAAGTGTGGTGACTGGCTGACTTCTTCCACTAACTTAACTGGAGGAGAGTGAATTTATCTTCTTGGCTAAGCAAATTCTCTGCTTGCATTCTGTCAGTATCTTGACCTGTCCTAAACATCTCATAGGTGCTCTGGTGTCAGTTTAAGCTCAATACGGTGAAGACAGCTTTCACCACAAACCCTTCCTTCTTACTGCACTGTTGGACAAACAGCTATCCTGCCTCAGACCCACAGGTTGACAGTCATTTGACTGACCTCTAGGTCCTCATCCAAGCCATATCTAAATCGTGAAACTTCTTATGTCTGATATTTAAGACATGGCTTTTCTTATCCCTGGAAATAGGAGTAAAAGAATTTCCAGTGGCACTTTCAAGGAGTTTAAAGACAGTTACTTTACTGGAGATGCAAGAGAATTCCCCATGGAACATTCTGATTGCTGCAACATCGTTCTCTGGCTTAGCAAGACTATTTGGCTGCACTAATATCCAATCAGACTGCTGCTGCAAGGATTATTTTTCTTAGTCTATCACTAACCATGTCACCACTTCGTATCCCTCTGCTGTCTTCCATTCTGTTGCAAGGGTAAGTTACCATATTTCTCAAATCAAAGGTGAGGTTTCTACCCCTATTTAACATGGGGGGGGGAGAAGTCTGGTTTTGGATTTGAGTATAGCCCTGGCACAAGCCACCACCATTGCTGCTGCCTGGCCAGGCCTGGGGCCTAAGCCACTGTCACGGCTGCTGCCTGGTCAAGGCCAGGGTCAAAGCTATTGTTGCTGCAACTGTTGCCATCTGGCCAGGGCCAGAGCCACTGCTGCATAAGTCAAACAACAGCAGAGGGGGGGGGGAAGCATTGGGGCAAGAGGTATGAATTTAAGATGACCCTCCAAACATTAAATCCTATACATGGAAACTAACAAATTGATAATTCTTCAGGTACAGTATATAATTATGGGGGTCATCTTAAATTCAAAGTAATCTTGGATTCAGGTAAACAGGGTATTTGCTTTCACTTTCAAGACCCTTCATGACACATCCAGACCCAACCTCCCATTCATTATCAATAAGCCAACTCTTGTTTTGAGTCAGTCCATGATTCCAGCCCACTTGCTTCAACAAATCTAAGGCACCTTTCTGCCTTCTCCCACACTGTTTTTATGCATATGAGGAGCTTCACATAAGCATATATTCTTTCAAGTCCTTCCTTCAAAATTCTCCTTTGCCTTCAGAAAGAGACTGCTTATTGAGCCCATTGCTTCCTTATACTTTCCTCTCTCCATTTGTTCAGAGTACAAGTTCAAGTTGTTTGTACAAAAACAGAACAAAGACTGCCTCTATTCCAATGAGATATAACTGGTCCATACTTGGCCCCAGGAGCTGCAGTAACAGCTGTGATTTGTTGTCTCCACGCTTGAGTGTTTTCCATCAATTTCTTCTTCCCGTGCTTCCCAGAGTGCTGGGAAGGCACGTGCCCTTTCTCCTGAATGATGCCTATACATTTTTTTTTATTAATGCTTCATCTAAACATGCTAGGTTTTTTTTAAATACTTTTATCTCAGTGAACTATATAAGGACTTACAACAAGTATAGCTATTACTGCTCCTTGAATGAGTCCAGTCAACACATCACTCCAATGATGTTTATAGTCAGAGACACGTGAGAGACCCACGTAGATAGATGCCGCAACAAGGCCAAATTGCACTGTAGGACGCAGCAGTCTTGCCCAGTCTCCTTTCATTCTGGCTTGAAGATAAAGCTAAAAAAAGAGGGAGAGAGACACCTGTTAGAAACTATCTGCAAGGACCATTTTCATTTCAAACTGCGTGCGTTTCAAGTTGGTGATGTTGACTATTCAAGTCTGATCAAGAAATGATTAAATATTCAGAGACAGGGATATCATGTCCCTGACAGTTCTGCTATTGCTTTGCCTCTTGTAACGGACAGTTTCTGGATGTCAGATCCTGTCACTTATTCATTAGCATTCATAGTTCAACTTATGAATGCAGGGTGGTATTAATTCAACTAACTTTTGACACGGCTGTTGAATGCCATCTTTGCTTCGTAATACATTCTGTAAAAGAGCATTAACAAGGATTTCACAGAAGGCTAAATTGCTTCAGGACTATACAGTGCTGGTGTGGAAGCAGGAGTACAGCAACAAGTAGAGATTAGGCCAGTTTCTGCTTCTACTGATTACAGCCAACTAGCTCTTAATTCAGTAGCTAACATTGTGATGAGAACAGAGCTGTTCAGATACCTGTTTTGATACCTACAGTCCCTGAACTGGAAGACATCTAGTGTTTTGTCAGATGCATATTTAAATTAAGATTTTATTATGCTTAGATGTGGCATAAATTCATTCTGCTTCAGTCTATCATCCTACCGTAGCCTCAGTTTTCCCTACCACAGACTTGCTCCCTCATGTTACAAAAACACACGTACATAAAATCTTTACTTTCCCTGTATAATTCACAAGACACTGCCTTTGTCTACCCCTCCATTTGATCTATATTCAGACCTCGTGCTCCATCCATCCTGCTAGCATATGGGGCCATACAAAACTCAGTAATAGAGCTGGAATTTGTGTTTAACACTTCAGTCGCATCAAACTTTCAGCATTGCATAAAATCTTAAAGCCTGGTTTGAATTCATAACCTTGTAGTCGAGAAGCAGAAGTGCTAACAACTAAGCCACACTGTGGCTTCATGCATTAAGATGACACGCTAACAAGCTCTGGTAAATACTCCCACAGCTAACTTCAAAAGTCATGGGTACTTATTAGAACCATTACATCTTTTGTGTAAATACACATACAGAGCATGCACTGTACATGAAGAAAGGCACTACTTTCCAAGATTAAATATTTAGGGAATATTCCATCGGTTTTTCAAAGTAACTATTACATCATCGTTTTAGCATTCAGACCCTTTTCAGTCTATATGGAGATTCTTTTTTTTTTATTTCATTAATAGCATGTTTTAATATCAGGCTGAAATCACTCTCAGAAAACAGTTCAAATGGAGTTAGAGTCAGAGTGAACTTTTTGATTAGTAAAGCCACAAACAAGTTCTCCAAGGATAGGCTCATTCTACAGACCTGTTTCAAAATGAAGGTTACTTAATTTCAACACCGAGGGAATGCACTGTAAATGTTAACTACCAGACCATTCAGAATAAGAATATGTAAAGGGTGAAAAAGGTAGTCAATATGTGCAGGCAGGGACTTGTTTTAAGGTGCTTCTACTGTTCCATGGGATAGATCAGTGCTTCTCCAAGTGTGGTCCCTGGAGCACATGGTGGTCTGCAGACATCATTTGGTGCTGGCTGTCTTCCTTTTTCCAATTGTTAAATTCCATTGAATGCAGCTAAAAATACATGACTCTAATACTTTTCCATGTAAGCAACTGCTGTCATTGGCAAATATGTGTTCTGCAGCTATAAATTGGGAAAGCAGATGATTATGTGACTGTGAATGGATAAAAAGGTACAGTCTTAAGACAGTCCTCTAAACAGAATCAGAAATTCATCACACAAGGAGACCTGAGAAACTTACCTAGATAAAGCTGATTGGTTGGAAAGCTCTTTCCTTCAACTTCCCAGCCTATGGAAAACTAAGCTATGATAAAATGCTGTCTCAGCCTACCCCCAAGCCAGCAGTACTCAGATCAAAACCCTGGCTGCCTTTTTGTACAACAGACACAGCCAGCAAGCAAGAAATCTGGGTTTAAATGTTTACATGCAAACTTCATTTCCACATTAAGAAAGCAACCACTTAGCCACAGCAGTTTTAGATCTGGAGCTGTCTATAATACATCAGAATATAATCAAATATATTTTACCACTCCTTGATGCCTTCTAAAGACCTGCACAGTGACTGTTCCAGCCAAGTCTACAGGAAACCCAAAAATCTTTTCACTGCTAATAGCCACTCACATCTCTACTAAATGGAATGGATTCACATATTTTTCTAAAAGTAGGTTCAGAGCCTGGGAATCTGAAGAGAGTCATCCCACAAGGAATTTTCTTCAGTCACTTCAACCCTGACTGCCTGCTGCAGTACTTGCTTTCAGCGGGGAACAGCTGCTGCTATTTGTTACCAATGTATTTTCTGATATTATGTGCTTGTCAAATTGAGATGCTCGTTTCTCATAAACCAGCTGCTGCAATAGCAAATTCCAGGTTATTTTTAATTAGGTGACTTCTACTCTGAAGGTACACTTAGCTTAGCACATTTAACCAGTGTGGCTCCCCTTACCCTGATGTGCTCCGCTAAACAAGGGGTTCTCACCCTTTTTCTTCCTGAGCACCCCCCTGCCTCAGCATGCTATAAAAGCTCAACAGCCCACCTGTGCCACAATTGCCTGGCTCCCCAGCCCTGCCTGCACAGCCTGGGGGTACAGTGGCAAGGAGCCCTGGGGCCCCACACACCTGAGCTGCAGCAACACAGAGGCTTGCCAACCTGCCCGCCCACAAAATGGAGGCTGTGGGGTCTTAGGATCCACCTCAGTCCTGCGGGGCCAAGGTGGCTCCTCCCTGTGCCAGGCCTCCCTTGAAACCTGCTCACTTCCCCCCCCTCCCCCACAGAGGTGATGGATGCCCCCAGTTGAGAACCACTGCACTAAATAACTGTGGTATGATCTACATTAAAAACAGGATCGTTTTGCAAAATTAACAACAATGCTTAGTGGACTGAAATGTCCTCTCAAATGGCATTAAAGAAAATAACTCCTCCCTTATAATCCTGTAAACCTTAAAGCCATAAGCTGTTTATACATCACCTGGTGTGAATTCTGTTATATTCATGATTGTACTGACACATAAGGCAGTAAGATGTATGCTCCATGTGTTAAGAACAAGAAAATACAATACAACACACACAAACTTCAAATCTGTTACTTATTTGACCTTTACAGATAGATGGAAGAATAGTTTCATCCTGTTTAGAGAGCCTATCTCTGCATGCAGCAGATGCATGGCCTGTCATTGAGGGTCCATTTAACTGTGGTCCATTTAGCACCAGGGGCTTTCCTACAATACACTCCATACTCTGGCAACACTCCTGCTAGCTGAAGTGGCATGGAGCCACTAAAAATGTTCAGGTGTGCACATGTTCAGAAGGCTTGGGAGTGGCAGGGGGGCGCGCACTGCTGCTCCTTTGTGAAGTCACTGGTAGAACAGACTGCAAAACAGGAAAAGGATTGAACCCAGTTATCTTCCTGCCCCCTTCAGCTCATGTTAATGGAAGTGCAATGAGTCTCCTACATAATTGGGAACAGACTGTGGCTTTTAAAATCAAAATGTTCTGTCACCGAAGCAGTGGAAATCCTTACTCAACTTTGCATGAGGTTACTGGTGAAAGTGTTAACAAGATTTACCATCTCATTTATTACTGAAAGTTCATTGTATTTGAAAGGGATCAGTCTGGGTAAGAATACATAACTCCTGCTTGCATTCAGGGTACAAGTGCAACAGTCCCCTGTAGCTCCACAAGCAGACTAGGTAGGTATTGAAGGATTAGATACAAATGTCCTTGTCCTACATCTGTTCCCCTGTAAGCTCTCATTTTAAGTTACCCCAGAAGTGACAGATGCCATTAAGAGTGGGCTGTTCCCCCACAGGACTTTTAATACTATTCTAATATGCATACACAGATGTATTTCATAAAACACTATTAAAATAGTTTTCATCCGTTTTTCACAAGCTAAGTCTTACCCTATAATGAAAGCCTGGTCTCCACACCACACACATCCTGAGCACAGATTTCTTCACAACCTACAGTCCAATACTCCATTTCTAAAAATACAACACAGAGCTGAAACAGACACTGAGGTTTTTGCAAAAGCCACAGACATGAATGGAAAGGTCTTTGCAACTAGAGGATTATTTGCTCCTGTTAAAAAAATTCCAATAAAATTCCAAGTATTTGCCCTTCCTCCTTGAAAAGAGGGGGTGTCTTTCATATACTCAGTATTTGAAAAGTTAAATTAAAATGTAATGACTTGTTTCCCAAGCAGGAGTGTCTTCAGGAAACAATTATGTTAGAATTGTCAAAAACCTAATAAGAAAAAATCCTTCAGGGGAAAGAGAAAAAAGAGACTAAAACATTCCTTTTCAGGAAAAAAGCATAATGATGTCACATGATCAAAGTCAGGGAGAGAAAAATAAGCAGCTTATTTGCTACACAAATATTACTTGACTTTGTTCTTCACTCTGCTATTCCCCCATGCTCACAGTCCTACAACCCTGTCCTGAGGACACAGTGTTCTTTCTTAGTCGCTAGCACTTACTCTACTAACCCAGGTCATGTGTTTAAAGTTGACTTTTAATACTCTGTGCTTCTGCAGTGCTTTACATGTTTGAAAACTCTTTGCAAACAAGCACTGATTTAATCACAACACTGCAGAACAGGCACTCTGCAACTAACACTGGTCTGGAACAATACAGGAAGAGCCTCACACCATCCAAATTAAGACATTTCCAATGTCAGGACATCCAAGAATTTTACTGTCTCCATACTTGATGCTATAGAGCAGCGGTAGCCAGCTGCAGCTGCAGCATGGATGCCACAAGTGGCACAGGCAACCTTGTTGTGTGGCACATGGCAAACAGGAGAAAGGAAAGGAAACAGCAGCAAACAGCGTAGGGAGTAGAAAGCAGAGCACAGGATAAGGCAGGGAGCACGGAGCAGGAAGCAGAGCAGTAGTTTGGTCAGGAAGGACAGGATAGAGAAGAAAGTAGATAGAGGAAAGGGATAGAG